TAATTTCAGTTAAATGTTCCCATAGCAACTAGATACACAACACACAATAACTGGTCTAGGGAAAAAATGTTCTGCTGTATTTTCACTGTAGTTTATTGCTGCATCACACCTGATTATGTTAAAGCCTGATTCAATCAGGTTTTATTGAGTCACACAATTGCCTCAAAAACCAGGTAGGAAAAAAAATGAAGTTAATTACACTTCCAACAAATATATTCTCACAACCTTCAAGACATTACTTGTGTATTACATCTTGTTTCTCCATGCAGAAATAATATTTCACTCAGCTTCTTGTCACAATGAGCTTGAAGATTCAGAATTAATTGTAAAACCTTTCACACATTTTGTACTCCACTTTGCAAATAAATTATCCAGGTTGTAATTTGAACCTAGACAGAAATCCATAAAAAATAACAGAGACACAGGAGACCACTTTGAAACGATATTTATTCATCAGTTCAATGTAATTATATTACAAAAGCGTCAAGGCTGGTCCTCAGTAATTTACATTGGATCAACCTGTGCATTATCCAATGGCTCAAGAGATTTTCTACTTCATCCATAAAGAGAAGAATGTAATAGTTATTAATTAAAATGTCAAAACAAGGAAAACTAAAATAGTATTAAATTAAAATAGCGTGTATTGGTATAATGGAAAGCATAATGCCTTAGCTGAAGTTTAGAAAGAATGGCTCAATCATGGTCATACTTGCAATTGAATGGAACACCTTATCTGGTCAGGTTAACTCTCCAGCCCAAAAAAAGTATACTTGCTAGTCAAACACAGGCAAATGTTGTTTAGAGCGACAGTTTCTTCAGTGTGTGGGTGGAAGTAGTGACTACTATATATTATAACCAAATAAGAATCAAAAATCATTTTATGAATATTGTATCTTGTGAATGGGGGAAGGGAAGAGTAACAATCTTTAATGAGAATATCACATCTTGATATTGTGCAACATGTTAAATAAATGCAAAAAGGTTTTCAGACAAATTCAAGAATATAGTACTAAAACGTATCCCCCAAGATATTCTACGTTTGAAATCTGTACCCGATTTACATTTTAATAGCCATTTTACTTATACTGACCCAGGCATTTTAAGGTGTGAGGATAACTGCAATGTCAATTGTGAACATTGCGTTACTCCCTAAGATGTTTTCTTAAAAAAAAGCCAAACTCCTACAAAATTTTCTTACAACTGTTTTGCCTCCAGTAGTATAGCTTCATTGTAAATTTGCACAATCAGCAGCTCTTGTCCCTGAAACAGAAAGCTGTGGGGTTTAAACTCCAATGTAGGATTCAAATAAATAACTGAAGCAGGCAAATCAATCATTATCGGACATGCAGATTTTCAGATGTTCAACGAATTCATCTGATCATTTAACCATCCTGGGTATCTTTTGCAGAGCAGAATTCTCCTCCACAAATATTTCTTCTTTAACCAATATCAAGAAGAGTAACTAGTTAGATATTTACTTAGCTGTGGCATATTGCTCTATGCAAATTTACTATCTCTTTTAGCAACATTACAAAAATAAGTGGTTAGTGATTCACTAGCTGCAAAGTACTTTGTGACAAATTGATGCTATAAAAAGGTGCTCTGTAAATGCAATTTCTTGAGTCAAAACTTTTAGTTAGTATACAGTATTTGGAGTGATGCAACATTTAAAACTGGTGCCACAATCTCTAACCAAGAACTCAAATGTTAGCAGAAATATTATGTGTACAGTAGCAGAATGACTACTGCACCAATGTGTTGAATTATACAACGTGTTAGATTCCCAACCATTAATCCCTCTCAGCCAAAGAATTGATGACAATGTGTGGGGAAGCCAGTCAAGGGGAACACTGGTTATAATACAGCAACTTAAAGGCCAACTGATCTAATCGACAAGAGCTGGGATTTTTGCTCCTCAAGCAAAGTCCAGTAGTCGCAACAAAAACAGAAACTGGAGAAACTCAACAGCTCTGCTAGCATCTGTGTAGTTTCTCTCTGCAGATGTTGCCAGAGCTGCTATGTTTCTCCAGATGTTTCTGTTTTTCAGCATCCACACAAAATGAAACAGTTCTTTGTTTTATTTTAAAGTCCAGCAACTCTTCAGCACTTTGGGATTGTGGTGTGTGGCACTGGATCTGGATTTGGATAAATGTTTGAAGGCCTTATTTTTACCAAGATGGCTGGAGAAGTTCTATCATGGGAAGGTGCTGAAGGGACTAATGTATTGGGAAAGAAACCTGGGCACTAACACCCCTTGGGAGGCATTAAGGAGGGAGTTTCCTGTCTATCATCAACCTGCACAATGTAACCTGCCAGGCTGTGTACTTTACATCTTTGTATCTTCTTCCATTTGTTGAAACTTTTAGATGGAATTATTGC